TCAGAAGTAGTCTGTATTGATTGATATTGAACTTAAAAAGAATATGTGGCGGAGCCAGTCGGGCTCACACCGGCGCGGGAGACAATAGTTGTCGACCGACGGCCATCCGGATCTTGGACGTTCATCAGCACTGGACGAATCAAACTCAGCGAGTGGAGTTAGCGGCTCGTTACAAAGGTGTTTTATGAAAATCATTAAAAGTGCGCTAGCATTAAAGTTTCCGGAGTAGGATGTTGTTTTGTCAAAGCTAAAGGTGCTCTAACGCGAATCGCAGAGTACAGCCAGCATAGTCCTCTTGTAAACTGTTCTTGGTAATGTCCTTCGCCGTTCACGCACACGGTCTGAGAGTAATGCAGTAGCAAGCTGCACTGTCAAGCGCATGTGGTTTCAGAATGTGTCCGCTGGAAATGGGCAGACCACGCCACCCTGACAATACTCAGCTGCTCACAAATTTGAGATGCTAATTGATCCTGAACCATTCACATTTGGTCGCGAAAGAGATCGTTGTTGGTCCGGATACACTCGGCAACGTCAATTTTCATCTTCGTTACGACATTGTCTTCATGTGCTTCCTACTCTGCCTTCTTGTTGCCAACTGAGCTTGGTTAAGCTATAGGTTTTATGAGGGACAGGAGGTCATACGTAGGCCAAAATCGAAGGGCCTTTTTGGCTAAAAAAAACACACACACAAAGATGAGATTAAACACTTAACTGCGATTTACTATAGTGTTGCGTTAAACCAAATCGTAATTTATTTATTTTTCTATTCAACTGATTCCATCGTTTAAAAACGGTTGACAAAAAGTGTTTTAATGGAATCGAGCATGAGCTTTCGCTCTTACAAAAAAGAAAGAAAAAGAGTTGGATTTTGCTTTTCTTATCTTTTCTTTCTTTTAACCAATCATATCGCCCCGATCCACTCTTTTTACAAAAGAGCGGTCACCTGACCTTTGGCAACCATGGCGTCGACGTCGGCTGCGCAGGCCGAGATGGTGGCGAGTCTGATCGGCGAGAAGGTGCTGGAGACATTAGACCAGAAGGAGCAGAAGCTGGACGAGACCATCAAGAAGCTTGAAGAGGCAGACGACGACGAGCTGGAGCGACTACGCGAGAAGCGGCTGCAAGCCATGCAGCAGAAAGCTCGCAAGTCGCAGGAGTTACGCGCGCTGGGTCACGGCGAGTACTCGACCATCGCCGACACCCACGATTTCTTCGAGTCCATGAAAAAGAGCGACAAGGCCGTAGTCCACTTCTTCACGCCGGCCAACGCCTTTTGTCAACTAATTGACGACCACTTGGCACGTCTAGCCCCGCACCATCTCGAGACCAAATTCGCTCGCATTAATGCGGAGAAAGCTGAGTATCTCGTAGACAATCTTGGAGTCTGGATGATGCCATGTATCGCTCTAGTTAATAAGCAGAAGGTGGAGAAAATGGTGCAAGGTTTGGATGAACTGGGAGGCTCGGACAAGTTCTCCACTGCCTTCTTGGCGTATTACTTGGGTCTGCACAAGGTGTTGACGTATGAAGGCCCAGAGCCGGAGAGTCCATCGGACGACTGTGGCGGGGCATATGCAACAGGGAATGACCCAGTGGCAGCGAAGCAGCAGCTGGACCAGGAACGGATCAATAGTATCCGTCAGAGTATCTTCTACGACAGCGATCTGGAGGAAGACGACTAGTGCAGGACTCTTGACACTAACTGTCCATACTGATTGTGGACAAAATATGAAATAGCTACTGTATTTTGCTGTCTACTTTTGTGTTCTATGAGTCGGAGTGCTTGGAGGCGAGACATTGGTGGCGATACGCGCGTTGTCGTTGCCGCAAATACTCCTTGCTATTGATTTTACTATGGTCTGACGCGTTGACAGCCTTGTCGAGTGTGTCGTGACGCCATTTGGACAGGTGGGCGAGTGTCCAGCTCTCTTTACCTCGGGAAATAACAGCTTCGGCGCGGTCTTCAAGGCCGTAAGCGCGGACGTCCATGACGCTGGGAGCTGTAGCCAATGGTTGCACCGACGAAGTAGTAGACGTATCACTTGCACAAGTCTCTTGTCTCTTAGACGGCGATGAGTCTTCCTTCTGTACGCCACCGAGACGCTTTAGCGACCTCTCCATGAACAACGAGGTAATAATGCCTCACGACTGGTTGGAATATGGTGTAAATTGAAAAATAAAAAAAACCGATTGGTCTAAAATTGAATTGACAATAGTTGCAGTTTTTAAAAGCAGCACCAACAGTCAAATGGGCAGTCCTTGGTGTTGCCGCCCTTGCCAATCTGCAGCGAGGCCTCCGAGTAAATGGGCAGTCCGTCCTCATCGTAGCGAACTGATAGCATTTGACCAGAAATTAGCATTTAACCCAATGATAAATCCATGTCATGAACGTACCAGGTCTCGGATCCGGATTGAGTCCAGCAGCAGTGGAGTTTGTATCTATACAACAGCAAAGTCAACACAACTACCCACCTACCTATGAAAAGAATAGAAAGCAACGTACTCTGAGCCTCGAGCTTCTTGATCTGCTGCTGTAGTCGCGCTTTCTCCTTCCTTTCACGGCGCTCCTGCTCCTCGTCGTCAAGTTTCTGCTGTTCTTCAGCAATGCTCTTCTTCTGCTTCTCCGTCTTTAACGACGCGAACAGATCGTCGATCTCTCCGCTATATGCCTTTGGTTTTCCCACCTTGTCGTTTACAGTTGTGTCGTTAGCTGCTGCTGCTCCAGAGCTTTTCTTTTTCTTCTTTGCCTTCTTTTTCTTAGCCCCGTTGGAGCTCGGAACTGCATTCGCTGTCTTCAATGTAGGTTTATCTTCCTTGTTATGTGGCTTTGAATCATCTGCAACTGCTGCTTTGGCCTTCGCATCCGTCGTCAGTGTTTTCGAGAAAGCGAACTTGGCTTTCTTCTGTGGCTTCTGCTCGGACGGCTTGGACGCTGCAGCCTTTACATTCACACACACAAACAAATACTCAGCACCACACATTTCATGGTCATTGCGGCTTGCGGTCGTGCACGTACAGCGCTGGTGGCCTGCACACGACTCCTCTTCTTCTTGTTGGACATCGGTGGCGGTGAAGTGATTATATAACTCGTAAGTTACTGGTACACTGTCCCTAATTTGTACCGTAAATTGGGTACAATGGTCAAGTGCAAAGTGACGAAAAACGTCAGACGTTGCACGTGCGGTACCGACGTACGTGGCGTTGTACAATGTAGATTAAACTCGATTGCATTAAGATGCGTGTGTCGTTCCTGGACTCACGTTTACCACCTTATCTACTCCGTCGCGCTGGGCGCCACGCAGCCTAGCAACACCCACTCTTCTTTTTCTTCTTCTGGCTTTCGGTCGTGTTCTCAGCCGTAATTGCGATACTGTTACCCGTAGGCAAGCTGGCTGACGCGTTCTCCTCCGCTTGGATAGTCTTGCGACTCATGAGTTTGTAGATCTCAGTAAGAATGCGCTGGAAGGCTGAATCCACGCCCGTAGCCTCCAAAGCTGACGTCTCGATGAACGCCAGATTGTTCTTCTCCGCGAAAGCCATTGCCTCTTCGGTCGATACTGCACGCAGATGGCGTAGATCGCTCTTGTTACCCACCAACATTATGACCGTGTTGGCATCTGCGTGGTCCCGCAGCTCCTTGAGCCAGCGCTCCACGTTCTCAAACGTGCCGTGCTTGGTAATGTCGTACACCAATAGCGCTCCTACTGCACCGCGGTAGTATCTGTTAATAACAAAATAGACCCAAGTCTTAAATAGCTGCTGACAACGGCATCGAAGCAGGGCGGGGAACGTACGCGCTGGTAATCGCTCTATATCGCTCCTGGCCGGCTGTATCCCAGATCTGCGCCTTGATCGTCTTGCCCTCGGCCACGATGGACTTAGTGGCGAACTCGACACCGATGGTACTCTTGGACTCGAGGTTGAATTCGTTACGCGTGAAGCGGGACAGCAAGTTGGACTTGCCGACGCCAGAGTCGCCGATAAGCACGATCTTGAACAGGTAGTCGTACTCGTCTTCTCGAGGCGATGCCATGGCTATTTGTCTGTCTAGAATATCTCGGTGTGAGCTGGACGCTATGTTCTTGAGGTGAGATGG